ATTTTAAACATTATTTAAAATGATGTTAAACTAAGAATTTTTTTACCACGATCTTTTAGCATTTTGTTAGAAATATTGGCAAAAAATTAAGCCGTGCTGTAAACTGTTGTGAATACAACCAACTCGTGTTTCGCGAACACGTATGACCTTATGCAGTTGCGGGCGCCGTAAACTCTTATTGAACTCAACTAAACTGAAATGTTATTGTGGATTTAAAGGCTCGCCACTATGCTTGTTATTGAAATTTGGTAAAATTTTATCACCAAATAATCGAGATAGCCTTGAGGTGTAACCCCCACCCTTCCTAAAGAATTTGGTCTTCATCATTTATCCCAACAGAATTCTAGATTTTATATAGACCATTGGCCTTTTCTCCGAAAAATGGACATATTGTAATTTAAAAATAAGTAGAAATAAATTATGCTTCTATTATTCAATTTTCATAATAATGTATTCGTACTGGAGACTTGTCCTTCCCTTGTAAGAAAAAGAAAGGCCAATTGGCAATTAGAAGCAGTCTTTGCGTTCTGAGGGCAAAAGCTGAATTGGCCGGGGAGGCTGACGTCACCATTGAGCGGGTAGTGTTTGGTAAAGTCTCGCATGAATAAGTTCCATATCGTTACTGACGGGGAGCGATATACATAAAATTTACGAGCCCTCGTGATAAACAAAGAAGAAGGAACAAGTCTATGTAGTGCAACAACACAACAGCGAACCAATATAATATATTGTTTCTTTGGCCGCCCCCGAAGCGGCAAGGTGCTTTTTAAACGTTGATAAATTGTGTAGGTCTGGATTTACCTGAAACTGAAGAAAGTGTTATCAGCAATCAATCTCTTCTCCACTATCCAGACGACAGAAGGCAAAGAACCGCCCCTGCGCCTGTCTAAAATCTCTTTGTTTCGGAAGGCCTGATACATATATATGTACTCTCACACAAAAAAAACCAACATGCATTTAGACAAATAAACAAATTATGCTAAATAGATAATTAGGTCTGGGTGTACATACACACGATGGCAAATGAAGACAAATGCTGCTGGATATAAAGGAAGTAATTTGCTACCTTAAAATTACAAATTCTATCTGCACAGTACCCAGTTTTGAGAAATTTCTCGTCAAAAATTTTGACTTTCACTCCATGTCAAGCTTTTTCAAATGCAATTCTTAGAATGTCTTGTTAATGACTGTAGATCAAAATATTCTTACGATTTTGATTGAGCAGTTAAAATATTTTGTTTCTGACCTTATGGTCGTAGTAAATAAACAAGGCCATAAATGTCAGATAGAACTCGATGAGGAGATGAAATTCTTTAAAAATATTTCGTCGTTGAAATATTTGGTGAACCCAACGGAGCCTTCAGTATAAGCATTTTCTTTTTTGCCTGTACAAAATGTTTCATTCCTTCCTTCTCGGTGGTCATTTTTCACCGACCTCTCTCTCTCACAAGGCTAGTCTAGGTCATGACACGACAGCGCGTACAAAACTGTGGTTGGTACCTCACCTCACGTCAACGTAACAACGGCACGTGAAGTTAACATATTCACTGTGTTTACAGCGCAAGCACTGCACAATAATTATTACTAAAGGCCCGGTTACACGTAACAATAAATTGTACAAAAACTGGACGATATGGCGATCATGCGCTGAAACGTTAGGTGTGGTGTGTAACCACAGAATTTCGACGACTGAACGATGGTTTGGAGACTCGGTCGAGAAATCAAGCGCTGCTTGATATTTTTCGTTCCATCACGGTCACACTTGAGGGAGACGCGCTGTGACGTACATTCACTTTGAAATTTGCCGCGGGGCAAGACTAAGCTCAGGACTCAATTTTTAAAAAATAATCATCGTAGGTAAAAACTGATTTCATATTCGGAATCAGCGTCTCAAAATAATCATGGTAATCACGGAGAACCTGATGTGGTGCGTTATTATATATATTTTAGCAATTTTATTAATTAGTTGATCGTCTAGGGTGAAGCTGTGCATCAAGGTCACTCGGTGCGTTGCACATCTGCTGCAGTCAAATCATAGCTTCCGGTTCTACACACAGCACGGTATGCCTACAGTATGGCCACCCTTTTCTAAAGACACTGTTCTGCTATATCAAAATGTACTGGGGAAAAAAAAAGGGGGGGGGGCTTCTGTGATCTAGAGGTTGTGTTCGCCTTTCATTGATTAGGTCCAGAGCTCGAAACCTTCACATAAAGAGGATGCAAATCGCTGTCGTCGCAAAGAGACATGGTGGCTTTATGAGGAGGAATCTCCTCAATCGATAGAAAACCGGAAGATAGATTGGAACGTATAAACAGACAACACAGTTCGATAAAATGAACAGTTTTCTCTTACGACCAATCTGATACTATTTATCGTTGCGTGTAACCGGGGCTTAAAGTCCTGCTGCTTCTCTTATAAAGCCGCTGGGCAACTGTTTTGTCACAGTGCCGTGCAAGGCTTAGGTAATGTTGAGCTCTAAATATATTAACCTGTTTCGAGGGAAACTAACCGTTGTTGGATACTGCAGTACACGTCTAGTTATAGAGGAATGTTGGTGTAAGGGAACGGAGGTGAGGAGAAAGGACTGAGCTTTGGGGAAAGAGCTTGAGGAGGGGGGGGGGGATTGAGAGGGGATGAGAGGCGGGAAATACGTCACAAAAGAGGCTTAAGTGAAAGGAAGAAGCTTACTGCCGTATTGGTTTCTGTGAACCCAAGGGCATTAATTGAATGTACCGCTCCTTGGGTTAGCAGGTGGAAACTGTTTATATTACCTTTTCCCCCATGTTATTTCTCTTTGCTATGGAGTCTTTGGTAAAGCTGTTAGGCGCTTTGACGTCACACGCAGGAAATCTGCCTGACTGTCTCAAACCTTTGCACGAAGGTCTAAAAGTTGGAAGACAATCTAAAAGGCCACTGGTTCCTACACGTTTGCTTTAATGTTAGCCCTAAGTGGGTAAAAGAAATAATAGATGATTTACAGTATACACAAAAAACGTCAAAAGGTTGACCTTCAGTTTCATCCCCACAACCAGGCATTGAAACACAATTCCATCAGACTGGTGGGTACTTTTTAACATGCACGCAGTGACTTCCATACCTTCTTGGGTGGAAGGGGGAGGGAGGGGTGTACCTTATTGCCCTGAAATGTAGGGGCAAAGTTGTGTCTCTGACTCAAAACGAGCAATTTGTATACTAGATAAATGTCATTGTAATGACCCTGTGTATACACCCACAGGGCAATATTTAATGTAAGGCCCCAAAAAATAGAATCTGTTTAATTACACTGGATGAAGAGTTATTTTCCTTTGGTCGTTGACCTACAGGAGTGCCAGGCAAAGTTATGTGCTCATTGTCACATCGATATATGAGCTATTGCTTGTTCACGTTCAACTGTCCTTTAAAAAAAAACCCATCCAGTTCATTTATTGATTTTTCAAAACTCAATATGGTTACTTTGGTGACATCACAATATAACAAGGCCCAAAGAAAAATAACATGTGATCATTATATCTATCCTATTCTAATGTATATCTATGAGGAATTAACCAGCGTCTTTGATGTCGCGGATATAAAGCGCCTCGCCGTCGAGCGCAGGACGCCCGAGTTCGATTCTCGATTTGGGAGAAAATTTTTGTTGAGTATCAGTCTTTCTGTTGTGATATTGTATCCCCATCAGCCCGGGTTGGTCCTGACAGGCAGGGCAGAGTCGAAAGTTCGTCTCCTAAATAATCGAATTAATTGTGTCGACAGGGGCGCCAAGACATCTACACAATTTGATATATTTTTAACGGGAGATTGTACGAATGTTTTTACAAATAATATTGGGGGAGGTGTAACACATAAAATACAGCTTTGGAAGATAGTATTATTTGAAAAATCACGCTTGCCGTATTGTAATGTCGCCTGGCAAGGACACCTTTAATTTTCGAGAAATATTTTGACTTTATGTAACTTTGATTGTCGAGAGACATTCTGTGTAAATCTGAGAGTCAAAGAGCATTGGCCCGATTGTTGTTGTTGTTGTTGTTGTTGTTTTTGTTTTTCTTAATTATAGCCTGGGAACACTTGTGGCTTCGTTTAACAACGATGGGCGTTCGATTTTCTCCCAGTTCGTTTCGAGAAGACAGTCGTAAAACAGAATTATTAAACCGGTCACTGAGCAGAACAGACACGGATGTTTTCTGCCTCTTTTCTGACAGTGCGAACATTTAGCGAAATGGTATATTCTAATGTTTAAAACCCCTTTCAACACGCAAAGCATTACAGCGTGCCACTCACATTATACGAAACACAAAACTAAACAACAAAAGGTTTGATTCTCATATTTGCCGTTTAAATTGTGCACATAGCCTTATTCTAAAAAAAAGAAGAAAAAAAAAGAAAGCAAAACAAAAAGAAAATAGAAACCAAACTATATAAAAGGGACTTATGCAATACAAAACCCACAGTTTCTGAATAATTATAATGTTTCTCGAAGCAAAACATTTGCTCTCGTTTAATGTATTTTAAAAAAAATATAAAGTTTGTGTGGGAGTGGGGAAGGGGTTGTCGAAAAGTACTCTTGGTATGTGTGTGTGGTGGGGGGGGGGGGGGGGGGGGGGGTAGGGGGGCTGTCGGAAGAAGCTCTAGTTAAACCTAAGATTCAACGAACATTGGCCCGATTTGTCTTTTTCTTTTTCTTTTTGTTATTGTTTTTCTTTTTAAATTACAGCATGGGAACACTTGTGGCTTCGTTTAACAACGATGGGAGTTCGATTTTCCCCCGCTTCCTCTCGATGAAGACAGTCGTAAAACAGAATTATTAAACCGGTCACTGAGCAGAACAGACGCGGCTTTTCTCTGTCTCCCAGCCTTCGCTCACAGCGCGCCAGTCACGACATTAGACACCGTTCTCGACAGCCTGGGGATCGATCTAGCCGCGCGGACGACTCTGTCTGTGTTCTCCACTCCGACTTCTCTTTGTGAGGGAGCGCGCGCGCCTGCCCGCCCGCCCGCGTGCGTACTCACACTCACCGGCGGCTGTAGCTGGGATAAGCACGTGCGTTTTGCCGACCATGAGTCGCGGAATGGCATGTTTGTCATCTCGGGTCGACTTGTGTCAACGATGCCACAGGCTTTCGTGATATTATGATTTCTTTGTTGTTAGCCTTCGTCTTGGAGAGACGTAGAGAAGAGTAAGATTCTTGCCTGGGCTTGATTACTCCTGGCTTAGACATCACGCCAGCACTGTTTGGAAGGGAAGAAAATGAGATTGTCGCATTTGCAGTATTGATATTAACGATATTGTGACTTGTGTTCCAGTGAGCTGCGAGTGAGAGTGAGCACTGACATCGTCTGGTAAGCAAATGCTTTGTATCTTATATCGATCATATCACCTGTCCGTCATTTCCATAAGCCGCTTCGCCTTTCTCCAGCTCAGTTTTCCATTATTGTGTCGGTACTGGAGTTGCTGAATTCACCTCCACCCCGACAAAAGCAAATACATATCTGAAAACATTTTGCACATACATATATTCAACGCGGCTGGTCTCGTAAGGTGATATTTTCCCCTTGTAATAAAGATAAATTATGTTTTTAAAATCCTTTCAAACTTTGGTACCATAATAGGTTTAATTTTTGATCGTGCAGTTTTATTTAGTTTCGTTCACTTTTACGAGATTGCTCACCTATTTTGGAAAGCAGTGGGCCTCGTTGATTTGCTTAATATACACGATGATGTGAGGCCTGCATGCCTCGCATTTTAATGTAAAACCGATTGTTGTTTTTTTATGTACGAAGAATTGGGATTCAAATATTAATATGTATCTCCTCCATATCCTCCGCCTCCGCTACAATCAGCTCATTCTCCCTGAACTCTTCCTCTGTCTGTCTGTCTGTCTGTCTGTCTGTCTGTCTGTGTGTCTGTCTGTCTGTCTGTGTGTCTGTCTGTCTGTACGTCTGTTTGTCCGTCTGTATGTGTCAGTCTGTCTGTCAGTCTGTCTGTTCGTCTGTTAGTCTGTCTGTTGTTCTATTCTCTCTCTCTCTGTCTCTCTCTCTCTCTCTCTCTCTCTCCGTCTCTCTCTCTCCGTCTCTCTCTCTCCGTCTCTCTCTCTCTCTCTCTCTCTCTCTCTCTCTCTCTCTCTCTCTCCGTCTCTGTCTCTCTCCGTCTCTCTCTCTCTCTCTCTCTCTCTCTCTCTCTCTCTCTCTCTCTCATCAACTCCCCCCCCCCCCCTTCACTCTCAACAATGCCCCATTATGTGAGAACCCCCCTCACCCTCTTTTCTTCCATTAAAAAAGGACTTGTCCCAGTGATCACCATCAACACCGTTGCTGTCGGCAAATTACTCCCTTCTCAATACCACTTCTGTCGATCAATAATGAGCTCAAAGTTCAACACCCACTGTGTCACCAATCACAGGAACTGTCCCCGCTAAAACACTCGCTTTATTCACCTCTTTTGTAATGTAAAGTGCTTACGCCCCCTCCCCCCAAAAAAAAAAATAATAAATAAATAAAATAAATAGATAGATCAATAAATAAATAAGTAAATGATTATCAATCACATTTGAAAATTACAGGAGAAATAAAAATCCAACACAAAGAAAACAAATTTGAATGTCTATTTTTGATAATTTGTTTTTGGTCTGTTTTAAAGTTTGAACTTCAAATCTTACAGATGGATGAATTTAATTAGCGAGTGGTTAGAAGGTGCAATAGGTAAGCCTTAAGTCTTTTCTTTCCGTGTAGTGTTTCTGTTAACTTGTTCCCTTGGGCTAAAGGACCGTTATTGTGTCAGTGTGCTTCTCTTTACGCAAACAAAAACAAAATACTTGCGATATTTTAAACTGCCCTGCCTATTTCCTCCTGCAGTTTTCATTTCCAAACGTATTTCGTTTATGGTATGGTATTGCCTTACCAAACTGTTCAATACTAGTTTTTGATATATGGTATTAGTTTACCAAACTATTCAATACTGATTTTTAGTATGGTTCTGGTTCACCAAACTGGTAAATACTGCCTGATTCTGACGCAGTGCTTACTAAGCTGGGCGATATCGCCCACTTGTGGGTGGTTTGGTAACTTAGGTAGGGGATCATCTGGGAGGTGACATTACAATACTCCGCTAGGAAAACGGTCAGGCATTGGACATCTGCGTCTCTAAGTGTTGCGCTTAAGGTTTTTTTAAAGGGGGGGGGGGGGTTCAACATGATCATTAATGTTTGATAGGCGAAAAAAGCAACAACAAGCAACACTAGAGCTTCCACCAACCACCCACGCTCCCAATTTGAAAGATTGATGAAAGCCCTGCCCGTTGAGGGAAACTATCGGTCGTTGACGTTTTCCTTGTGATTAATTAGGGATCGATGTGAGAGCGTGCGCTAAGCGTTCGCAGGAGACAGAATGCTGATTGAGTATTGACAACTCAGACCTCTGCCATGTTGTCAGGGGGGAAACAGACAGAGGAAGACTAACATGAAAACATTGAAATGTATATTCTGAAAACACCCCCTGACTTTTAAAAATAAATATTGATTCGACGTCTGCCTACTTTGCGGGTAGTAATTAGAGGGTGCTACTACTAGGTCTTGCTTTTTTTTTTCTTTTTTCCTCTTCCGTTGCATTTGCTTTTCCCTTGCGATTGGCTGTTGTTTTCTATGCTTATCTCTGCTTAATATAAACTTAACTAAAGTCATGTTAGACCAATACTTGCCATATCTGGCCACAAACGGCCAATCTCTAAATGTTGGTGGACGGTGGGGATCACTCGAGTAGTGACATATATTATTTAATGCAAAGCCAGGAAATACAAAAGGTGGGAAGTAGGAATTTTTCACCCTTTTAACGGTGGCAAAAATAGGAGCTAGCTATTAAGGAATTGACAACTGCTGAGCTTGACATACATGGACAATAATTCAAAGAAGGATCACTTTGCTTAGAGGAGAGAGTTTAGTAATAGCGAAATAACACGATAGTGAGGTCAAAGAATCGTAGTGCGACTAATTTTCAAATATCTCCTCAACTTTCGAACATAGGTTCTCCAATTTATGCACAGTGACTTGAATCAATATGTCTTAATAGATCAAAATTTTTGTAAACACCTGCAAGCTGTATTCTAGAAAATTCCTTAATAAATACTAATAAAAAATCCTAGCGGGTGGTTTCTAAGATTTTTAAATGTTTACAGCAGGGGAAATAATAGCTTTTAATAGCAAGTCCGTCCGGTTTTTCAAATCGGGACATTATGCTTACTGAGCGCATGTTTTGAGAGCCATTAGTGCAAAAATGTGCTCACTAGAACAATAATTTTTTGTAACACATTTTGCAAGTATTGTCTTTGATGAGCTCTGACGTAGGCCATATATGCGTAATCAAAATGTGAGTGTGAAGCGGAAAGTGCTGTGAACAATACCATTTTACTCGTGACAGAGATTTCACGTATTTTATATAAATTTATGAAGAAAAGTTTTTTCATCTAGCCCAAATCGTTCAGACAAATATGATTTAGTTAAGACAAATTGATACAAACTGCTATGCAAAGTATGGATGATATTCAAATGATAAAGAGATATTTGAGGATAAGTTGCACTCGGATTTTTGACGGCACTATAGTGTGGTTTGCTCCTTTTTTCCTATCAGACTTATATCACCCCTATCTCTGCTCCTTCTTTTCTTTGTAGTTCTTCTCTCTCGTTACACCTCTTCTTCTCAGCAAGTGCCGTGAAACTGTTATAAAAACTAAACACTCAGCCGCAAAGAACTCAGGCTTGTTTGTTGCAGTAATCGATCAGAAGCGCTCACTTAATTTTTCTTTTTCTTGTTGTGTCGGCACCGTTCGCTTTGTTCTGTCAGTCTGTCTGTCTGTCTGTCTGTCTGTCTGTCTGTCTGTC